TCTTTGCGCCATCAAAGTGTTATTATGGTTTCAGGTTTTGTAGCGTTTTGCAAGAAAATATGCTCACACATGTGCTGTTCCTCCTACATGTCAAGCACTTACTTCTTTCTGACTGCAGCAAGTTTCTCATTATTACTGTCCTTTGCTTAGGCTGTGGCTTTGCCATCTTTGAAATGAAATCACACAAAAGTTGCTTGGGCAAGTGGTGGGCTTTCTGTTGAGACCTCTGGGATGTGACTTAAATGACTCAAATGCTACCTAGTCTTACCCCTGCAATGTTATTTAGACACCTGAGATGTTACCTAGATTTTAGTTGTTTTGGTGTTGTCACCTATCTTTCCCAGCCTTGTTTCCTTATCCCTTCACATCCACCACATGATGATAAAAACAAGCTCTAAGCTCACATTAAGATTCTCATCTTATTTTGTCTTATCTTCCTATCATCAAGCTCAGGTAAGACAAAATCCTACCTTTAAGGTAATAATAGACAAAATTCTGACTATTAGGTAGAATTTTAATAGCCTTATAACAATTCCAAGTTAAGTGAATTCTGAAACAACCTCGGAATTACCTTTTTTTGGTGTTTTTTTTCTTGTCTCAGTAACATTTTTTGTTTAGGTCACATGTTTTTTTGGAGTGTGTGTTGGGTGGGATTCTGAGTCAGTGTTCTTTTTGATATGTGACAAGCATATTTGGAGCAGACTTATTGGTCAGGTTGACAGCTGCTCAATGGGAAAGTGTGTTTATTTCTTGGCAGGCACATGCAAGCACACCAGCATTCTTGCAGAAGATTACCTGCAGAAACACAAGGTATAGTATTTCATGAATATTTTGAAGTTTCAGGCTAAGGTACATTGTAAAGCTGCATGAGTCTGCTGCAACATCTTGTAAGTTATTGAAATATTTCAATAAAGTTACTAAGATATTCCGACATGGCTCCATTGAAGTTTAAGCCCCATGGAATACTATTTCAATTGGGTTCCAGTGCCAACAAGAAACCCAAAAAATTCAAGCCTTATCCAGCGAAATGTGAATGGTCAGAGGAGAAGGAAAAAAGGGGAGAGGGAGAGGAGAAGTGAGAAGAGAAGAAGAGGAAAAAGAAAGAACAAAGAGAAAAAGGAAAGAGGAAAGAGACAAGAGCAAAGTGTGCAGAGAAGAGAAGAGCAGAGAAGAAAGAAAAACTCAAACAAAAAGGGGCAGAGGAAAGAGGAGAGAGAAACTAGCAGAGGGAAGAGAGGAGACAGAGGGGGAAGAGAGTGTATTTTTTGGCCCATTGTTGGGAATTCTTTTTCCCCTTTTACTTGGCAGTCCTTTTACCCTTTAATTGGGCCTCAGAAAAAATTGGCCCATGGCTGGCAGTCCATTAATCTTTTTTCTCTTATACTTGGGTCTTCAGTAATGTCGGCCCATAGTTTGCGGTCAAATTTTGTGTTTCCCTTTACTTGGGCCTCCCATTTGTTGGCAAAACTGGAAGTCATTATTTTGCTTCCATGCCCTTGGGCCTTCCATTTTAAGCCCGCAACATTCACAAAATCATATGGTTATGCCGGTTATGCCTTGGTTTTATTTACTATCCTGGGCTAACCTTTGCTCAATTGGCTGCAAACAAATATGTTTAATGTAAAACATTGAGCTGGGTGCATGTGTTGGAAGCTGCCATGGTGGCATTTTCCATTCACATGTTGAAAACACATGGGCACTGTTTGGTTTGGAAAATAATGCTGTGGCTACCAAATAATACATTGTATTTTAAAAAATGGTCACATATTGTTGTATTCACATGTGTTGCCTACTAATGCCATATGATGGCATCCTACTGGGATTGAATCCTACTGAGTTGCAACAAGGACAAACCATGATCATGTTTTTTTTTGCTTTCTGCATCATGACGCACTTGGTTTCATAGTGTTGCTGCCTTCCTTAAGACAAAAACCTGCAAAATTCACATAATCATATGTTTATGTATGGGTTTTATTACCTACCCAGTGCTGACCTTTGATCAAAGGGTTAGAAAAAATAAATATATATATATATATTTTAAAAATTGAGTTGGGTGCTTGGGTTGGAAGCTGCTATTGTGCATTTTCCACTCACATGTTGGAAATACATGTTACTTTTTGGTTTGGAAAATAATGTTGTGGTAACCAAATAATATATATATATATACACATATATTGTATTTAGAAAACCTGGACACATACTGTTGTAATCCATTTGTTGCCCACTAATACCAAATGGTTTTCACAAAAAAAATAAGCCACATGAAAAAACATGTTAAACAACAAAAAACACAAAAAAAACACAAGGAACACAAAGCTTGGGGTGCAAGTTTGGTGCAAGTTTGCTGCAAACTTGCACCCCTGGTGTGCAACTTTGATGCTAGTTTGATGCCACTTTGGTGCTACTTTGATGCTAGTTTGATGCCACTTTGATGCCAGTGTGATGCCACTTTGGTGCCAGTTTCATAAGCTACTATGCTAGCTATTAGTTTTAAATTACTTTCAATATACTATATCAAACTAGCATCAAAGTAGCATCAAACTAGCATCAAACTAGCATCAAAGTGGCATCAAACTAGCATCAAAGTGGCATCAAACTAGCATCAAACTAGCATCAAAGTGGCATCAAACTAGCATCAAAGTTGCACACCAGGGGTGCAAGTTTGCAGCAAACTTGCACCAAACTTGCACCTGCCGATTCATTTTTTGAAAAAAAAACATGAAAAATCATGAAAAAAACATGAAAAATCACAAAAATCAAACAAAACATATATAAACAAATGTTGAACATTGACATCATGATGATATTTTTCATGAGAAAAAATCATATGTCCAAACATTCAGAACCCAAAGTTACCAGGTTTTGCAAAACTTTGACTCCACAGAGGTGGAACTATAGTAACTTTATAAGTGATATTGCTCTCATCTGAAGCTCCCCAGGTGTTACTTAGTAAGCTGGAATGTTACTAACCTTCACAGGTGGAACTGCGGAACTATAGTAACTAGCACCTGTTGATCAAAATTTTGATGAAAAATCCATGAACGATCCATGAAATTTCATGAAAAATCTTTGAAATATCCATAAAAAATCATGAAATATCCATGAGCGATCCATAGAAAATCATGAAACAATAAGCAATATAATAAAAACGAAGTCAAAGAAAACACAGAACTTGAATGCCATCTATGGGCCAAAAATATTGGAGGCCCAAGTAAAAGGGATGAAATAACTGCACTCCCAACTTTGGTCAAGGGGCCATGGAAATGGAACCAAAAGAAATGACTGGCAACTATAGTGGGACAATTTTTTTGGAACCAAAGTAAAAGGGATGAAAAAACTTCACTCCTGATTTTGGGCCAGAAAAATTGGGAGGCCTAAGGAAGTGGAACTAAAAAATTGA